GGGAAACAGGGTAATCACAAAAAAAGTTGAAAAAAACCCACCCCAAACCCCCAAATAATAAAACAATGGCTTATCCATGGTAAAGAGACTGGGAGGGTAGACCAGTGATTAGAGCAGATGTAGGCGCAAAGGAAATGCTTATATGGATGGAACCGAAATTATGGATTAATATGGTAGCATTGGATGTGGGAAAGAAAGGCTAATTAGGATAACTTCATAAAGAAAAAAGATTTAGTGATTCTATATATGTAATGAAAGAATTGCTGATTATGTTTAGGGTTTGAACCAAAGAGTTGGAATATATAAGATTATGTAGGAGAGAGAGTTTGGGAAGTGATAAAAGGTCCCGGGAGATCATAAATGGCATATTGAGTGTATGGAGCAAGCTTTTAACTTCTGGATGTTTCCCATCCTATTTGACATTTCCTTTCAGACCCTATTAGAACCACTCTTCTACACACAAATCTCGTTTCCTTAAGTCAGTACTACTGAACAATTTCTTTGTTTTCTCTATGTTCTTGAAAAACACTAAGTAAACGTTTGCAAAATTTGCTGTTTTCTGAGACTCAGACAGTATCTTCCAATATGGTGACTCTAGCACATGATATATGCTATTGTAGTGATTGAATTGTCCATGGTTTGCTGCATTCACTATGTTGTGGGCTTTTTCACTAATATAGTTTGTTAAAGTCCTCTCAGCAAAGTGCTGTTACAATGACCGTCTTCTGGGATTTGGAAATAGCCTTATTATGCAGAACTTGACGTTATACACTAATGGCATTGATTAGAATGGAATTCTATATGAGTTATGACTTCCAACATTAGCCTTGCTTTTTTCGCCTTCTCACAGCATGAGACTTTGGTAATTATGCTAATTCCAGCTGATTCAAGAGGACTGCTTTCTAAAGTGCACCTCATTAACTTGGAGATTTTGTAAACAGCTATCCATGTAGGTCCCACAGACTGTGGGGATGTGTCAATCCGATGTGTGTGCACTGTGTATTCCTCCCCTCATCACTTTCTGCTGAAGCTTAAAGCAAAAAGCTCAGATGGTTACCTTGTGAAGCAAGAGCTTGAAGAAGAATTTGAGAAATGTTACTTTAGCTTGGGCAATGATAGGAAAGATCTGATCCCTGCTGAGTTACACAGATCATGCCTTTATTGTGGCGCAAGGGCAAGTTTATTAGCATGCCTTTATTATGGTGCAAGGGTGAAGTTCTTGTCTTGGGAGTAAAGTTTGTGCTTTTTTGTTGTTGTTGGTCAAACCCCACTCCCCCATCCCCTAACAACTTGCTGCAATAGACTTTTGCCAGATGGTTACTTCTGTTGATCAACCTTGTTTACAGTGGAATCTTCTGGAGGTCAAATTCTTATCCAGAGGGATTCACGATGTCTGCCTCCCATCAGACCTAGCTGCGTGGTTGATTAGATATTACAATGACTCATTGTCCTCACAGGAATAGCGATCGCCCAACTTTTGACATGTTTTATTAAAATCTCAATCTCCAGGTGGGTAAGAGATACTATTCACATGCACAGAACATTTAAGTGTGATTGAAAATACCATACAAAATTTTATACATACACATACCATGTAAGAGAACACAATTTTAAGAGGGTAATGAATCCCATCAGAGATAAGACCACGCTACTCAAAATGAAGGGAAGAAAAATCATTTGGAAAGAACTGGAGAGGAAAAAACAAACCCATTGACAATGA